GCTGTGTCTCGCAGGATTTGGTAACAATCAATGGCAACCTTACTGGCGAAAAGTACACCAGGGACGTGCTTACACCTGTAGTTGTGCCTCATTTTGACAACCACACGTTTGCGTCAAGACCTTTATTCATGGATGACAACGCTAGACCTCATCGCTCTAGGGCAGTAAAGGCTTATTTAGAGAATGAATCCGTCAACGCTCTTCCTTGGCCAGCAAGAAGTCCAGATCTCAACCCTATAGAGCATCTGTGGGACCAATTGGGTAGGCGAATACAGGCTTTGGAGCCTCCTCCACAGATCTGTAGTGCACGAGAACAGTTAATGTTTGAGAATTTCATTATTATGCAGTAATATGCTAATAATGTATTTATTTTATTACAGTGACCAAATAGATTCCAACAGATATTTGGGGACGTTAACGGGAGACGAGTAAAACAACTATTTGGATTAGTTCTCACAGCAGAAATAGATACTTCATCTGATAGCATTATATATATCTAGAGAACATTAGATCAGTCATTGAACACTGCTTGTCTGGCCTAGTTAAATGATGCAAAATTCAGTATCTATCACATACAAGTTACAAACCATTCAAAATTTTATTTAATGTGCAGCTGTATGAGTGAAAGAACACTAACTACAGAATTAATACATAACTATTTAAACCTCCCTATGTCTTCAGATAGACAATTTAAACAAAAATAAACTATATAGTTTGAGATATCTCCCCTATTTATACGTGCTCTTTCGGTTTATTTTCACCTATGTTGGGTAACACTACGCTCAATTTATTACTTCTTTCAAAACTGGACTGTTTCTATTATTATATGGGGCATTTTTGTATAACACGCTTTAGAATAAAATTCACCATGATGTTGGTGGGTAGACACGGTTTAATGAGAGTCGAGTGGATGATATTTAATTATTAATAACATATACAACCATGTATTGGATGGGGGAAGGGGTCGTCTGCAGCTGAGATTCCTAGGTCGCCCTTATTTTACCTAAATTCTGGTCCTTACTGACTATGATATTAATCTAGGGACTTCAGAACCTTAAATATATCACATAATTGAAGATTCAATTCTGTATATGTTGTGAAATTGATATTTTGGAATAAAATGTATATAACCAAAACCAATAAGGGATATATTAAAATTATAAGAGTTTAGTTTCAGTTAGGTAAGTGTTATCAAACAGGTATAATTTTGCAAAAATAATACTTTTTGAGTCTGATTTAATAGAAATGGTTGAGGTAGAAAGTCCAAACTCTTAAAAACCTGATGTTAAGTAACTTGGGGTATGCTCATTACATGTCAAACAACAATCCAGTGAATATATTGTCAATGGCGTAGCTGTAAGTACAAGTGTGAATGCTACTTCCAGGACATTAAGGTGCGCATTGGACGTGTAGCTGCTAAAAAATAGCTGCTTATTAGAGAGAATCAAAAGATTGAAAGGAGCAGAAAACTTCAAACATATGTGAGCAAAATTTTAGGAGGATACTCATTAAAGATGAATGCAAACATGAATTATTTGTTAACTGCCAATAATAATTTGTTCAGTGGCAGTAAGTCAAACAGTACCGTGGTCATTCTGTAATATCTACAATGAAACGTGCTGAGAAAC